TCAGGGAACGCCACCAAGGGGGACTGAAACCCTTATGTTGGAACAGCAGTTTCCCTCTAGGGTCCAGCACAAACCACAGAGTGTTTGGCCCCCAAGGACTTGGCAAGGAACACAGTTACTAAGCCAAGAAATCCAACTCCTCTTTGCTCCAATGAGACAGTTTTGCACTGATACTATTCAGAGTTGCTACAGTGTGTGGTAAGAGCTGCGTAAGACGGGGATGTCCAACCTGTTTTTTTTCTCTGTCACACATTAGAACATGACTTTCAACCAGCATGCTGTGAGAGGACCTTAGGTTTGCCACACAAATTTTTAAAGATCACTCATTAATTTTGAAAGAAGTTCAAAGCACAGTAAATATATTCTTTTTTTCCCTCTTTCTTCCCTTTTCTTTTTTGAGTGTTTGCTGAGACAGAATTTGACTCTGTCAGCCTGGGTAGAGTGCCATGGCATCATCGTAGCTCACAGCAACCTCAATCTCTTGGGCTTAAGAGACCCTCTTGCCTCAACCTCCCAAGCAGCTGGGACATCAGGCACCCACCCCTATGCCTGGCTAGTTTTTCTACTTTTAGTAGAGACAGGGTCTTGCTCTTGCTCAGGCTGGTCTCAAACTCCTGAGCTCAAAGATTCTTCCCATCTCACCCTCCCAGAGTGCCTGACCCGTGCCAGGCCTCCTTTTTTACTCTTTTTTTGTGATCAACATAATTCAAGGGTGCTGCAGAAGTTTAACTATAGGTGCAAGTGTGCTGTGAGTTTAAAAAGTTGAAAAATACTGCCTTAAAAGAATTAAGAGTCTTGGGCCACACATTAAATACACAAAGACTAAAGAAAGCTGATTAGCAACAAAAACAAACAAAAAAAGGTCTGTGCATACTTTCCCTGATATGTGACACCACAGAGAAGGAAAAAAAAGTCCTCATGAAATCTGGATGTGGCCCTCAGGCTGCAGGTTGGACATGCCTGGTATAAGGGGCGTGTCAGAAATAGAATTGTGGGAAAGGCCAGCCTACCCATCCTCCCACACTCTGCTGCGAGCAGCCTGTGCTGCCCGTTTGGGGGAGGCCTCTGTCCCCAGACTTTACAGTCCTGCCTTCTCACTTTCTGCCCTTCCTATATCACATTCCAGTTCTAAGCCAGTGGTGTAGTTGTGAGCAAGAACTCTCCCTTGCCTGGGACTCATGTTCCCACTATAAAATAAAAGAGCTGAATTAGATGACGGTTCTTAAACTGTTTTTGTGCCATGGACATCTATGGCACCCTAGCGTATTCTAAAACAACCAAAAAAAGTATTCCTAATACACAAAAGACACAGACAACAATTACGCAGAAATGTGGTTATCATAATATATATTTTAAAAGTTGAATGTACTTCCATCCTGATGCGGTAACTAAACGATCTAGCAGACGGCCTAATGTCTACTCTGATCTCTGTTGGTGACCGAGTCATAGGTATTGCTAATACTGGGTAATCTCTTGCCCCATTCTTAATCAAGGGAAATGATTTCACTTAGTAAAAATAAAATGTAATGTTTTCTCCCATCCAAATTCACAGGTCCGTGGACCACAGGCTTAGAACATCTTGACTAACAACTGTAAAGCTGCTTCTCGTTCCGACATAGTTGGATTCCACAGAATTAGCCAAATGAGACAGGGGATAAAATAGGGACATTTAGGATAATGAGGTGAAATTCTACTATCTCGACAGCTGGCACCAGGGTGTCTCAGAGGGTAGAAACCGTTTTTGCTTGGAGAATTGTTTTGATAAGTCTCTTGGGCCCGACTAGGAGACCCTGATGACTTGCCTGGTGGGAAAAGGCATTAAAAGTAGGAAGGAAACTGCTCCATGTCAAACATGTTCAAGAATCGGGAGGTGAGGGCAGGGAGGACTCACAGGAAGCTGGAAGCGGGGTGGGGGGGTGGTGGGAATGGACAGGGGCTTCCTAAGGAGGAGCATGACTCACAGTTACAAAGAGGTGGAATCAATCCAAGTGCCCATCAATAAGTGAGTGAATTAATAAAATGTGGTCTAGGTTGTCACAGGAAAAAAGTGACAAGCTGGATGGAACTGGAGACTATTTTTCTAAGTGAAGTATCACAAGGATGGAAAAATAAACACCACATGTGCCCACTATTAAATTGGAACTAATCAATAAGCCTGTGCACATGTGCTGGTAACACTGAATGGAAAGCGGGGGTGGGGGGGATTGCAGGAGAGGAAAGGTAAATTCACACCTCATGGGCACAGTGCACTGCCAGTGACGGGCACGCTTAAAAAGTTTAACTCAAAGAGCACAAAACCAAAACATTTAATACTCAAGGGGTCAATGATAAATAGTGAGGAAAAAAGAAAAAAGTGCCCTGGAGATGAATGTTACTGTGGGGAGCACATTAAAATGGGTTTGGGCCCTTCCTGTCCAGATAGTGTAGGACAGAGTGACCGTGGCTAACTGCTGCGTCCTCAAAAGATGGCCCCAGGACCAGGAGCATCAGCAACATCTGGGAACTTGTTAGAAAGGTCATTTCCAACCTCCCACTCCCATATCTGCAGGTTAGAAAGTACAAGGGTGGAGGGTGGAGGGTGGAGCCCAGCAATCTGTGGGTTCCTGAGTCCTGGTCCCCACAGAGGCATCTGCAGAACCCCTCCAGCCCTCAGAGTTAGAGACGCTCCCCACGGTGGAGAGCCCCCTCCTCTGCTGTCAGTCCTCCCTAGGGGCCTTCTGGTGACCCAGGCTGGGCTGCCCTCTGGGACTGAAGCCCACACCCTTCACTCTTCCTCTGGTCCCTCCCACACACAGGGTTCAGGCCACCACAGTGGCTGTTCTTTAAAGACCCTCCACTTAAGCAGTGTTTCTCTTAAAATGGAGAGTCCAGAACTAGAGACAGAAGGCAGGACAGAGGTCAGCGGGGCCATTGCCTCCCTTGGTCTGCCAAGTGCTGTCACTGGGGACCTCATGGCTCAGCTTTTGCACAGGTGGAGGCCTTTAGAGCCCCCGGCACAAAAGCCACCATGGCCCCCTCTCCAGTGGTACCTAATTGAAAACAAAATAATGGCGACCCATTAAATAAGTATTAAAAAGCACAACAAAGCCCTGAATTCCCTTATTACAATTTTTTTGTATTATGTTGTATCAAATACCAATTATTTTTAGTTTTTATTATGAAATAGTTCTAAGACCAGAAAAGGTATAAAGGATCATTTAAAACAAACAAAAACCCTCACGTACTCACCACTCAGCCTAAGAAATAAAATATTGTCAATATTGTTCTAAAAACTGATGCTATTAAAAAAGGTTTTTTTGCTTTCTTGCAGCTTGGATTCAGCCAGATTTTGCTGCTAGCACTGGGGACAGGGGCAGATGGGACGTGGCCTCGCAGATTGAGTAGAAGTGGGCTGGTCTCCATCCTTTGACTCCGAAGGTCAGCGCCTTGTCCCAGCTCCGGCGCAGCCGGGCCGTCGGGCGTTTTTGGGACGAGGCTGCCATCTGCTGGCGCAGCGAGAAGGACGCTGGGCAGCGTTCCGGGGAGCCCGCCCACCACTGCGAGGCCCCGCCCACCACGAGCGGCTCCGCCCACCACGAGCGGCTCCGCCCCACGGCGGCGCTGGGAGGGGTGGACAGGTGAGGAGAGTCGCCTTCAGCCTGCAGATCAGCAACCGCGATCCTGCAGAGTCGGCGGGACGCGGCAGGTGGGGCTCCCAAAGGCTCTTCAGCAAGGATTGGGGGTTTTAAGAGAGAGAAACGCCCTGGAAGGAGAAGCAGGTGCCGCTAGAGAATCGGGGGGCAGGACAGAAACTTCTCTAGCTCCAGGGTGCGGGCACCGTTCTCCTGTTTGCTCTCGGACCCATCGGCCCTGCCATACTTGGTTCCCACAGGGATTTGTTTGCTGTTCTTCTGCCTTGAACAGTCTTTCTTGCCTCAGTCGCCCTCATCTGAGTAAATGTTTGCTCGGTTTTCCTCCAGGATCCGCCCCCTGCGGGCCTCCTGCAGCTGTTTGGGAGGCCTGTTGACCTGTCTCTTGTTTTTCTGTTTACTCAGTCTCAGGATACTCCAGATTCCATGAGGACAGGGAATCATTCCCTCCCCAGCACCTACTCAAATGCAAGAAATAGTAAGATAAATGGTTTACTGAATTGATTTTTCTTATGGCATTTTAGGAAAATCAGACACCATAATCTGAAAACACAAGGAAATTACTTGGGAAGTATTTCCCCAACAGTGACGTCTCGGTCTCCCTAGAAGTAAATTGCAAATGATTACCTTTCCTAGTCTACCTTTCTGTAATCCCATGTGGGGTGGGATGAACAAGAATGAGAGAGAGAACCAACACAACAATCTTGTCTCCTGGGCATGTTATAAAGTAACTCTTCAGTGCACCTGCCTAGGGTCCCATCAGTAAACAAACATGGCAGGCAGCTACTACCTGGGGCCTGGACAGCAGCCATAACCATTCCTCCTTCATGTCCTAAGAGCATTTCCCAGTTTTATTTTGGAGAAACAACCTCTCTCTTCTCAGCCTGTCTGATCCAGAGCAGCCAAGCCTATCCCCGGGCCCAAGTTTGGGCATTGACCTGGGTCTCACAAGTCACTGAATTCCAACAGCCCAACCCATGACTGGTCAGAGATAGGCACAAACTGGCCCAGTGAGATTTAGCCCTGGAACTTTTGCTAGAATCACTGAGGAAAGAGGACCTGGGAGCATCAAGCCGGCAGGACATGAGCTGGAGCTGCCGGCAACTGTAATTGCCACACGAGACCCGGAAAGTGAAGGCAGATCCAGGACAGCAGAGCTGAGAGAGACGGAGACCCAAGACACATGTCCTCTCGACAATGGCCCCCAACCCAGGACTTTTTCTGGACCTTTCTACTACATGAGCCAATGAAGTCCTGTTTTTTAGAAGTCCGTTTGAAGGTGTTTGTGTTCCTTACAACCAAACAAGCACTAGAATGAAGAGCGCAGAACAAAGCATGTGACTTTTTGTTAGTTTTATTTTTTATAAAATTGATACATCACCTGTAACACTTCTAACACAGATGAGAACACTATAATAAGCTTTTACAAGATCATTAAATTATTCAAAGTATAAGTTAGAAGGAGACGTGAGATCATTGCACCCCCGTGGTCTCAAACAGTGCTGGGGTTCTGAGGCTTTGGAGCCACAAAATGGCCCATCGGAGGTTTCTCTCCCACACTATCCTTTTCCCTCCCTGAACCCCTCACCACATGTCAGCCCTGCTTCCAGGGGAAGTTGCCATCTCTAGACGAGACGGTCACAGACTGCAGACCTCAATGCTGCACCTTGATGACGCTCTGAGCTCGGCCGCCAGCCTCTGGGCAGTCTCCCTTTTCCTTAGCTCAGTGAAGAACTGGCTCTGGCCAGGAGGGCTGCAAAAACTGACCCAGGCTGCTTCTGCAGGACCTCGGGCCTATCAAACTCCAACACCTGGAAGGTGGAGAATGGAGAGGAGGGGCCAGGACACAGCTGAGCTTAGTCGTGGAGAATTCAGAGGCCTCCCAAGGCAGTGGCTGGGCATCCATCCCTTCCATCCCCCAACACCAACCCCAGCCCAGGGACGCCGCTCTCACCCTCCCGCTGTCCATGACCAGGATGCGGTCACAGTTCAGGATGGTGGTGATTCGGTGGGCGATGACCAGCACTGTGCAGCCCTGAAAGGCCTCACGGATTGTGCACTGGATCAGGGCATCCGTCTCCATATCAATGGAGGCTGTGGCTTCATCAATAAGGACAATCTAGTGGACACAAAACAGGGGTGAAGGCAGCCTCTTAGGGCCCAAGAGACCTGGCCTTGTCCTGGTTCCACCACGAATTCCTCATGTCCCTTCCTCTCCAAGCCTCCATTTTCCTTGTCTGGAGAACTGAGCTGAGTTCCAAGTCCACTTTGGGCCTTAGTTCTCCATTATATTATGAAAAGAATGTTACATCTCAGCCAAGAACTAGCGATATCTTAGAGACCAGAGAACTAAGTTCTTGAAAGTGAAAATGGCCCAGTGGTCACTCATTTTATTCATTGCCTTCCCCTTTGCCCAAATTAACGTAGACCAGTGGCCTCCAAAGAAGGGTGTGTGTGTATGGAGAGGTGCAGAGGCAATTCATCCAGGACACAGATAAACCTTCCTTTTAGTTTGACATTTTTGAATCCATGTCATTTAAATATGCATGAGAACACTGAACTGGCAGAGAAAGTATGGTTTTATAAATGTTTCTTAGTTTCGGATGAAACAGTTTTTAAAGAAGGACTATGGTTAGTAAACCATGGGGGGGGTTGGTACACAGATATGACAAAAGTCATAAAGGGATGACTCAAATTTGGGGAGCAATATAGAGGAAGCAATTTCTGGACCAAACAGCTAAGTGAGTGAATTAAGGAACCAAGAAGTTAGGAAAGGGCTATGTGCAGTGGGTGCCAAAAAAATGTATACAGACATGTCAAGAGAAAAAAAGTCCTAGTCACACCTGTCACACGGTGATGCTAGCATTCATTTGATTAATTCTATTTTTTTTTTTTTTTTTTTAGAAACAGAGTTTCACCTTGTTCCCCTCAGTAGAGTGCTGTGGCATCACAGCTCACAGCAACCTCCAGCTCTTGGGCTTAGGCAATTCTCTTGCCTCAGCCTCCAGAGTAGCTGGGACTACAGGCACCCGTCACAACGCCAGGCTATTTTTTGTTGCAGTTTGGCCGGGGCAGGGTTCAAACCTACCACCCTTGGTACATGGAGCCAGCGCCCTACTCACTGAGCCACAGGCACTACCTGATTAATGCCATCTTTTAAGGAAATGTCATACTACACATTGCTACTGTAATTCAATTCAATTTTGCAAAGTAACATAGATAACATCGCTTAAAATGTGTATACTTTTTTTGGCATGCCCAGTATGTATCACAAATTCTGTTGTTCTCTTCTTTTAAGAACAGGGGCAAAGTCCTATTTCCTCCAAACATTCTCCCCATTTCAGGCCCCACTGAGCTCTCTTGCCACAGCTCTAACTGTCCGCACCAGCAGTGTTTGCAGTTATCACTAATTGCCCACGATGTGTGTGCCTGTGAGTCCACCTGAGTGCAGGTGAGTCCACCTGAGTGCAAGTATGTGCACCTGTGGGTAGGTATGTACACCTGTGTGCAGGTATGTACACCTGCGTGCAGGTGTATACACCTGCGTGCAGGTATGTACACCTGCGTGCAGGTGTGTACACCTGAGTGCAGGTGTATACACCTGTGTGCAGGTGTGTACACCTGAGTGCAGGTATGTACACCTGAGTGAGCAGAGAGGTAGCCTATCTAGGCATGTGAGTGTTGCATCACTTGTGAGAGAACAGGTTTGCCCCTTGCCAGCTAAGGTACTCAAATAGCTGAATGTTATGGATAAAATCTGTGAAAACTTTCTAGAAACACAGTTACATCAAACATTTAATAATACGCCGGTTTTCCCAGGATCAGTGGTCATCTGATTCCCAATTTTAATAAATATCAAAAGGACACCCTGCAACCAAGTTTTAAGAACAACACGTAGAGGTGATTTTGAAGTCAACAAATCTCGAACCTTGTGCCTTTTTCTGGAAAAGGGCATCGTGATTTGTTCCAGTGGCACCATTTCCCTGGTTGCAGGGTCTCGGGGTATCAGAGCACCAAGGCCGAGAGTCCCCAGCTGCCATCCTCACCGGCACCACGGGTGCACCGGGAATGGCCCTCAGTGAAATGGGGATGCCCCTGCGTGATTTTTTTCTGGTTAGAGAGGACATACACCTCAGTGTTCACTATTGGGGGTCCTGGAGGGAGAAAGACCTAAGGTGGGTCCCCAAGCTGCCTGGCCACTCTGCAGGGGCAGTCTCACCTTGGAGTTGCGGAGGAGGGCTCGAGCAATGCACAGCAGCTGCCTCTGCCCCACGGAGAAGTTCTCACCGTTCTCCAGCACTTCTGCCTGCAGCCTGCTGGGCAACCTTGAGATCTAGGAGATGGGGACAAGAGGCAACAGGTCACCACCATGGGGTGAGACCCAGCTGGGCCACCTTTTACCTCTCCGGCCACATTTTCTAGCCCCCGCCCCCTCTCCACACTCCAGCATCGGGTCCTCTTGTTCCTGACTGGGCCTGGACTGCTCCCGCCTGAGGCCCTTTGTGTCAGCTAAGTCTTCCCCACTGCCTCTCAGTCGGTACCTGGTCACAGTTCAGCTGTCACGTCCTTAAAGAGGCCTTGACTGGCCACCCTACTGAAAGGAGCTGTTTCCCACTGAAGTTCCTATTGGCCGCATTACTGCCCAGCAGCACTCATCACTATCTGATGATGGCACCCCGTGCACCCACCTTCCACCCACTGGGTGCAGGAGGCCCTGCCTGCCCTGTCTGCTGTACCCTCAGCTGAGAGCACTGCCTGCCCCGCTTTGGCATCTGAGTGCCCACAGTCTTTGCTTAAGGATCCCATGTCAGCTCATCTCTGAGATTTTTTAATCCGTGACCCAAACCAGCAGCATCCAGAATACCACATGAGGAGGCCCCAAAGACACAGGCCCAGACCAGGAATCCGGCCTTGATCTACTTACAATCTTGGCCAGAAACGTCCGCTCTAAGACATCCCAGATCTGCTCATCGGTGTAACAGTCGAAGGGGTCCAGATTGAACCTACCGCAGGGGGAGAGGGAAGGACTCAGGGACCACGCTCATCTTTGGACACTCACTCACGGCTCGGTGACTCACCTGGAATGCTTAGAACTGGACTTTGGAGTTTAGGGACACTCATGGAACCACCATGAGGGGTCATTTCTTGTGCCTCCTTGTCACTCTTCCCTTCTGTAGGCATCAGCCCCCAAGTTTTATTTGGAGACCAGCTCTTCCCCTGAGCTCAAGCCCATGTGTTCCAAGTGGGGAGCCTTCCACTCCAGGATGGACAGAGTGACTCAAGTATAAGTTGATGACTTTTCTGTCTTTTTGCCATGAAAAGAATCCTAAGGAATCATCCAGGCAATGAGCATAGATTGGGGTCTGTGTGGACGTCACACCCAGCAGGGTTTATGCTTTCCTCTGACACGGGCAACACTACAGACACAGCCCTGTTATGCAGCCACCCAGCCCTGATAACACCTGCTAACCTCCGCCTTGGCTTTCCCTGGTTCTGGCAGCCACACACATTCTGTATTAAAGAAACAGCAAACAGAATATCCTGTTTGCATGACGTGTGACATTCTCCAAAGCATTTTTACAGACAGGCTTATTTGATAGGAGATGTGTATACCCCTTTCATTGACGATGGGAGCATGGCTTATCAGTTTTAAATGGCTCGTTCAAGATCACATCACAAGTTAGTATGAGAGCCAGGCTGGAATTAAAGACATTCAAAGTTAGACAGAACCTTCAGGGTGTAGAACCCAGATCTCCTATATTCTAGTCCGTATTTCTTCATGCAGCAAAAGGGAGAGTATCCCAGGTTACGGTTCAGATGGCCTGAGGTTACATCTCATCCTTTCCATTTACTTGTGTGTCCTTAACCAAATCACCTTTCCCTCTGAATCCAGTTTCTTCATCTATAAAATTAGGGTAATAACACACCCTCAGGGGGTTGTCGTGCCTTCTAGGTGGTATATTAAGACATCTGGCTGACACATATGAATGCTCGATAATATTTCATACTTTTACTGCTCTTTATACCAAGACACAATAGCTTTGGCCAAGTTCTGCCTCAACACAGGAATCTATCACTAAATGCTTTGTTACTCCCTAACACAATGCAGTCATTTTGAAAACCTGTGTCTGTGCATATGCTATTCGCCTTCCCTACAATGATTTTCTCCTCTTCTTCTGCCAGACAAGCTCCAATTTATCCTTCAAGACTTTGTTCAAATGTCCTCCCCTCTGTGAAGTCTTTCTGGGTTCACTGAGGCTGAATTACTCATCCCATTCCTGGCTCTCTCAGCACTTGGCTCATATTTCTGATCTAGAAATTACCTCCCTCCATTGTAATTCACTGGGCCTTATGCCCATACAAACTGCCCTCTCCAGCTGCACTGTGAGTTTCTTGTAGGGGGCAGGGAGCCGGGGAAGAGTTGGTTCATCAAAATGTTCTGTCCTAACCTGGCAGAAGTCAGAAAAGCAAGTTAAGTGGGAGGATAAAGGACTGAATGATTGTTGACTGAATGAATGAAGCACTGGGGCTCAGTTTATCCTCTTGCCTCTAAGATTGCCCCCTTCATATCAGGGAGACCTGGAGGATCCATCCTGTTTTGAACACACCTGTCTTCCTCAGGGAGGGCATCGTTGGGAACACTAATCTCAATAAAGTTTGGTCCCTGAGTTGACTTCTAAGGAAATAGCAAGTGGTAAAGAGGACGAAAGATTGGATTTTGTTCTGGATCTTTCTCCCTTTCTCACTTCTCCACCAACCAGAACGTGAACCCATTGGAGAAGTATTTCCAACAACGCCCCCAGGGCCCTTGCCCAGCAGGTGGAGGACGAGAACCAGCGACATCAGTGGCGGTGACAGCACAATGCTTAACGGTGCCCTGACAGCCAACCAATCCCACCTGGGCTTCATTTCTGTTTTTAGAGATGGGGTCTTGCTATGCTGCCCATGAAGATCAGTGGTTACTCACAGGCACGAGGCCTACACCTGGGCTTAAGCGATCCTCTCGCCTTAGCCTCCTAAGTGATTGGGACTGCAGACGTGTGCCACCACACCCGGCTGGTGCTGATGAAACTAAGATATGCCTGATTTCTGCAGAGGGCATCGTGGCTAACTGAATGCTCTCGTGCATGCCAGCTTAACACCCTGGTGAGGTGGCCCAAGAAGGCAGGAGAGGCCCAGATGCATACCAACCTCAACAGCTCAGTGAGCAGGGCCAAGAAAGTGTGAGTGACCCAGATGTATACCAGCCTCGACACCTCAGTGAGGTGGGCCAAGAAGGCAGGAGAGGCCCAGCACACCGGGGAGAGATTGGAGGCCCCCAAATTGGGGTAGAGGCCACCACTAACCAGAGGCAGCCCAGAACCGCAACCCTGGTCGTGTGACTTCCTGCAGCAGGCTGTCCTTCCACACCAGGCTGGCCACTGGCCTATCCCTCACCTGATGGTTCCTGAGAGCAGGACCGGATCTTGAGGGATAACTGACAGCTTGGACCGCAGGTCCTCCAGGCCAATGCTGCAGATGTCTACGCCATCAATGAGGATCCGTCCCGCTGCGGGCTCCACCAAGCGGAAGAGAGCCATGCCCAAGGAAGACTTCCCTGTTGGGTAAGAAAGACTTCCTCAATTTCCTCGTCTGCTCTGGAAAAGTACAGAGAAGTGCAGTGTAGGTCCTTGACTCCATCCTCTCCGTGGCCTATTTTTTGTCACTGTGAGCTGTGAGAGCGTTTCTGCTCCACGGGGTGCCCCAGTCCATGAGCAGCTTTCTTACAGCCCAGAGCAGAGGTCACAGTGGGGCCTCTGGATCAAAGCCAGCCCACATGCATGTTTTGTTTCACGCTCACAGTGTACAATTACTTTTAAATCCCTTGCCAGCATTTAAAGAAAACCCTGAAGATCTTAAATATAAAAATTGAAATTGCATGTTTCTCTTGAAACTTAGCAGAACGGGCAACACTGGGCCCACATCCCCCCAGCAACAAGGAGGTGGAGCTGAGTGTGGCGGCTCACTGAGACAGAACAGTGTTCTCCAGTCCCCACCCAGCCCTCTCCACTCCCTTACATCACCCCCCAGACACACCACACTCATCTATTACTTGCCAGGCCCCAAGGAATTTGAATCCCCTCCCCCAGTTCTTAAAGATAAGATCTATGGATGTTTAGATCCTCAGCTACCTCAATAAATACCTAGTGAATTAGTATAGTAAGTTGGACCAGTATCTACTGAGAGCTTCTCAAGGCCAGATACCAGCCCTCTCAGGCCAATTGGCAGGTCAAAAATAGCAAGAGAAGATGACCCAAAAGAATACACCTGGCAACTCCACCTTGCAGCAGTGTGGGAGCTGCAGGGGTGCTGAGGAGGGGAGCCAAAAAAAAGGCTTACGCCATACAGGGGGCTTCCTGGAGGAGGCAGGGCGAGGGCAGGAGAGGAACGAACCAAATCTGAGCAGAATCTTTGAACAAAGCAAGGAGGCAGAGGGAGAGACAATTGGACCAGATCCTCCAGAAGTGATAGGTGAGGAAGAGCGAGAAAAAGTCTAGGAAGAGAAAAAGTCCAGGAAGGCAGAAGGACGGGGAGAGGAAGGAGGAGAAGGTGAAGGCTGATAGGAGAGGTGCATGAAGGGAGCGGAGGAGGGAAAAGGCATAAGGATTCTAGATATATATACGCCTAACATGCGAGCTCCCACTTCATAAAACAAATTCTTCTAGATCTAAAGAAAGAAGTAAATAGTAACGTCTTAATTGCTGGGGCCTCCAACACTCCACTGACAGAACTGGACAGATCATCAAAGCAGAAAATTAATAAAGAAACACTGAACTTAAACAGGATTCCAGAACAAATGGACCCAGAAGACATTTGCAGAACATTCTGCCAAAACAACTATTGAATATGATTCTTGTCAGCACACGGGACATTTTCTAAGATTTGGCCACAAAACAAGTCTAAGCAAATTCAAAAAAATCATGATCAGGGCGGCGCCTGTGGCTCAAAGGAGTAGAGTGTCAGCCCCATATACCGGAGGTGGCGGGTTCCAAGCTGGCCCCGGCCAAAAACTGCAAAAAAAAAAAAAAAAAAAAATCATGATCATACATCTATCTTCTTAGACAACAGTAGCATAAAACTAGAAATCAATTCCAAAAGAAAGATTTGAATCTATACAAAGTCACGGAAATTAAACAACCTGCGGCTGAATGATTCCTCAGTCAATAATGAAATTAAGATGGAAATCCAAAGATTTCTCAAACAGAATGACAAAGGGGACACAAGCTATTAAAATCTATGCGATATGGTAAATGAAACCCTAAGGGGGAAGTCCATTACCTTAAATGCCTACATTACAAAGACAGAGAGATCCCAGATTAACAACCTAATATCACATCTCTAGGAAGAAAAAGAAGAACAAACCAAACCCCAAGCCAGCAGAAGAAAAGAAATAAAGCTTAGAGCAGAACTAAGTGAAGTGAAAACCAAAAAAAGAAAAACAATACAAAGGATAAAGGAAACAAAAAGTTGGTTCTTTGAAAAGAAAACAAAATCAATAGACCTCTAGGCAGATTAACCAGAAATAAAAGAGAAAGGACTCAAATAACCTCAATCAGAAATGAAAAGGGAGACATAACAACTGACACCACAGAAATACAAAATATCTTCCACGAATACTATGGAAACCTCTATGCAAACAAACTAGAAAGCCTAGAAGAAATGGATAAATTGCTGGAAACATACAACCTCCAAACCTGAATCAGGAAGAAAGAGAAATACTGAACGGTCTCCAATAATCAGTGGCATGATTGACGCAGTTCTAGAAAAATCTCCCAACAGTAAAAAACAAAAACAAAACCCAGACCAAATTTTTGGTGGATGGATTCATGGCCAAATTTTTCCAGACCTACAAATTTGAATTGGTGCCTACCCTGCAGAAACTATTCCATAATATCAAGAAGGAGGAAATTCCCCTTAACTCATTCTATGAAACCAGTGTCACCTTCACACCAAAGCCAGGAAAGGACATAACAAAAATAGAAAACTAGGCTTGGCGCCTGTGGCTCAAGCGGCTAAGGCGCCAGCCACATACACCTAAGGTGGCGGGGTCTGCCAAACAACAATGATGACTGCAACCAAAAAAAAAAAAATAGCCGGGCGT